CCCTAAACGACCCACCCAGTCACCTCCTGCAGAGGGAGGCCACCGGCGACAGCGATGGCAGCAGGGCGATTCAGGGCGGGGCCAGCCACTCACCATCCCCCTATCAGCCCGCTGGGGTCACCTTCCACAGAGGAAGGCCACTGGCAGCAAGGCATTCGAGGCAGGGCTGACCAGCGCCATCCCCAGACTGGCCCACTGGGGTCGCCTCCCACAGAGGGAGGCCACCAGCAACAGCAGCGGGGCAATTCGGGGCGGGGCCGCTGCTCACTGTCCCGATCAGCCCGCCTGGTCGCCTCCTACAGAGTGAGGCCACCGGTGGCAGCAGTGGTGGGGCAATGGGGGGTGGGGCTGGCTGCTCACCGACCCAGTCCCCTGATGGGCCCACTGGCTGCCTCCCACAGAGGTAGGCCAGACTGTGGCTTAGGCTCGCTCCCCATGGAGAGCGGGCCTAAGCCGTCAGTCATATATCCCCTAAGGGCTCCCGGACTGCGAGAGGGCACAGGCCGGGCTGAGGAACCCACCCCCCACCCTGAGTGCACGAATTTTTGTGCACCAGGCCTCTAGTTAATAACAGTTTCTCTGCATTTCACCATATTAATTCCTTTCTTACTCATAAGCATTTCTTAGGCCATTTAGTAAAACAGTGTACTTAGCTAGATTATGTTTTCTGATAACAAATGGCAAACTATCATGGAATGTTTTTTGGTTTTCAAGCATTCACTCAAGATTTTTGATAATATGAAAAGAGACTCACTGAACTGCAAGCAACCTTGTGAAATCATCTAGACCTGTGGTCTTCAACCTGAGTTCACTAGGATGCCTGATGCAGGAGCTCCTCAAAATGAGTGCTGCCAGAGAATAAGGAAGAGGCTGAGTGGATCAGGCTCCTGACACCCTGTTCCTTTAGGACCCTGCTTTAACCAAAATAGGTTTGGCTGTTTTACAATTTGAGGCTCTATGTACAATTAGAGGCCCGGTGCACGAAATCCATGCACTGGTAGGGGTGGGGGGTTCCCTCAGCCCAGCCTGTGCCCTCTCGCAGTCCAGGACCCCTCAGGGGATGTCCGCCCGCCGGCTTAGGCCTGATCCCCGGCAGTCAGTCATCCCTCTCACAGTCCGGGACCCCTCGCTCCTTACTGCCCACCTGCAGAGGAAGCAGGAGAGGCTCCTGCCACCACCGCTGCGCTTGCCAGCTGTGAGCCTGGCTTCTGGCTGCGAGCGATCCCCCTGTGAGAGCGCACTGACCACCAGGGGGAAGCTCCTGCGTTGAGTGTCTGCCCCCTGGTGGTCAGTGCATGTCATAGCGACCAGTCGTTCCACCGGTGGTTTAGCTATTTGGTCAATTTGCATATAGGTTTTTATTATATAGGATTCTGTTTCAGGGGGGAAAAGAATTTTGCCTGTCAACTGCTCTTCCCAATTATTTATTAAGAGCTCACTATATGTCAGGCGATGTGTTACCTATTGTAGTTGCAAATAATTTTTTTTAATCCTGTCTTTGAAAAACTTCAATAGAAAAGACACACATCTATAAACAATAATGTGATATGGCAAGTGGTGAGAAAGCAACAAGTACAGGAAAAGAAAAGAGAAAGGGTTCTAGGAGATAGTGTCTACACTGAGAGTATCAGTCAGAATCCCTTCAGGAAACACGTGCACATTTAAATGGAATAACTGAGACTTTAATGAAGTGCCTATTTATAAAGGTGTAGTCAGTATTAAGAGAAAGAAACCAGTAAGGGATGGTGAAGCACCCTGGAGCCAGCACAGTGAGAAGTCTTTACCATTACTAGAGCTGAAGGAGCAAGGGGAAAGAATGGCTATCAGAGCCCAGAGAACACTGTGGTTATAGGAGAAGGTTGCCCGACAGGAGTGGTGGCCTTCTGCAGAGAAACATAACCACAGCCAACCAGCAGTGCAACAGAAAGGGAGCCAGGAAGAGCTATACTCCAATGTAGCAGACAGCATTATTGCTTCCACCTCCCTATCCTATCTAATAAAGAGGTAATATGCAAATTGACCATCACTCCAACACACAAGATTGCCACCCCCATGTGGACACAAGATGGCCGGTAGGGGAGGGCAGTAGGGTGGGACCAGACCTGCAAGGGAGGGCAGTTGGGGGCAACCCAGGCCTGCAGGGGAGGGCAGTT